GAAGGTCACTTTGGTTTTAAGAAAACGTATGTTGATGTGCGAGAACGCTTTGACTGAAAAGGAAAGAAGGAAGATGTATTAACCTATGTGCGGACTTCCAAGACTTGTCTTGTCTATCAAAGGAACAAGCCCTCACATGAGAATCTGGTGGGACTGCTGAAACCTCTGCCTATTCCAAGTGAGTCAGGTGAGTTTATTTCAATTGACTTTATGAATCTTACTAAGAGTCGGAATGACAACAGTCAGGTAATGGTCATCGTAGATAGATTCTCTAAGTATGCTATGTTCATTCCTTTGCCTGCTGAAGCTAGAACCGAGCTACTCATCTAGAAGTTTCGGATGCGATGGGTCTCTGAGTATGGATTCACGAAAACCATCGTCTCTGATAGGGATGTCGGTTCACGAGCCTGCAGTAGCAAAAATTGATGGAAGTCTATGGGACCAGATTGGCCATGTCGTCAGGCAGACATCCTGAAACGAATGGCCAAACTGAGCAAATGAACCGTCGTTGTCAACAACTTTTGTGAATATATGTCCGACATGATCAGATAGATTTGGATGAGAACTTGCCCAAAATTGTTGGTGCCTATGATAACAGCATACATACTGTTACAGGTAGAAAACCTAATGCACTACATAAAGGATGGAAGCCTAAGCGTCTCATTGATGCGTTAACAAGGGACGAGATTTAGAGGCTACCCCCATATACGCATGAATTCGCACATTTGTATGAAGAAGACATTAAGAAGGAGAAGGAAAACATACAGAAAGCCCAACTACAAATGATTGAATACGGTAATAAACATCGTTGTCGTTCACAATTTCAAGAAGGAGATCTTGTCTAGGTTAAGTCTAAAGAGTTTTCCTTAGAAGAGAATGTGTCTTCGAAACTGCTACCTGTCTACTATGGCCCCTGGGAAGTTCTCAAGGTGATTGGAGATGTAGTACATGCAGACGGACCTTCCTACTCAATCGATGTACCTCCACACCTAAGGACATACCCCGTCTTCCACGCGTCTAAGCTGCTGCCCTATGTAGAAGGTGATAACTTTCCAAATAGGCCATCTATGTTTCCACCCTCTATGAATGGAGGTTATGAAGTTGAAAAAATATTGGAACATGGCTATTTTTTTACAGGTGGTAGAGGAAGACCTCAGAAGCCATATAAGGTAATGTTCAAGTCTCAACCACCATCTGTAGGAAAGAACTCCTACCTACTGCTCCTGCTATTGTTGCTGCATATGAACCTGGGTTAGCTGAGAATTGATGTATGTTCTGCGATGAAACTCTAAAACTGGGCTGGCAGGAATGCAATAACCCATGCCATATGTCTCGTAGAATGTCCGAGGGCCTACTTGGCCGCCCTCAGCCCAGACCAAAACGGGGGGAAAAGACCCCACACAAAAATTCAGGGCCTGGACGTGAGACAGTTGACTTTTGTCAACCGTCATGATACCAACAATCGAAGTCCAAAGGTACCCAGCCCAGGCCGCCGGTCAAGCACACACACTTGTTTGTATGCAGGTACCTAGACAGCATCAGGTCCAAGGGGAAGTCTGCAACTCTACACAATCTAGGCCCTCGACTGTGAAGCAATCTGGACGATTGAGGGAACAGGACTCGACGCCAGACAGCCTCATCAAATGCTACTTTAAGCCTGGCCTCGGGGTGGTCAGCATTCAGTCTTGCTATGCTGCTTGGACGCTGGCTTGACTTCGACCCGACGCTGGCATTGACGCTGGCGAGACGCTGGCTGGATGCTGGCACTGTGGACAACGACGACAGCATGCTGGCACTTTCATTGTGCGCCAGGCATGCTGATGTGGCGCTGCCTCTGGTCTACATTGCATGCTGATGTGGCGCCGCCTCTGGTCTACATTGCATGCTGATGTGGCGCTGCCTCTGGTC